AAATTGTGAAGAAAAGTCAGTAGCGATAAATCGTCGATTTGGTTGTCGAAATTACGATACCTTTTGAGTATTATCCGCGAATATTTTTGTGGCAAAAATCCTTAGTCTTTCGAGAAATATCGTTCAGTCCCACAAACTCCGGCCATAAAAACGGGCTCGGATAAACAACAGGAATGTGTTAGCGCTCTCGTTTTCGGTTGTCGATTTCAAGCGAATATTTGCTTTGAATAACGTCTTATTATTCGTGCCAAGATTAATTGGATTGTGTATTTCGCTTTCGTATTTTCTTGAATTTATTGTGAACCGTTGTTTTCAAACTGATCTGTTATTCAAGTTTATTTTTACAGTTTTCTTTTATATTATTTCTCTATTAATAAATTTGTTATATTTCTTTGTTAAAATCGCGTAATTTATTTGAGTGTTAGTTTCTCTAGTTGTCGATACCCGTTTTGTGTCTGTCGCATTTTGAATTAATGAAGTCTCGCATAATCAATTGACTTTCTTCCAAAACTCCTTATCGAGATACTGAAACGGCCTCCGCTCGCGCGGGAACGCCCTCCATCCCGGTTCCTCTGAGTGCGAGTACATTAATTTCGCTATTTTTTTTGACGGCGTTTTCGCCCCCCCGCGCACGCTCCCCCCCCACACCTCGAGGAGTGTGTTGATTAATTTGAATTAAAGAAACGTCGTAAAAATTTGGCGCCCAAAATGGGGCCACTTCGCAAACAAGAGAAAATTTTAGCGCTTGAAAAAGGGACACGCGTTGAGAAGGAAAAAGTTCGGGGAGCTTGTGCGAGCTAAATTATTTGTCGAGTCATTTCAAAGTCGCTCTTTTTTTGTCGTGTGTTCGTTTCTTTTGTAGTTAATGCTTTCGTGCGAACATTTCTTTTGCCGACCTTTACATATTTGTCGTAAAATGTCGGACGAGGAACTTTTAGAAGTCCCTACGGATGCGATAGCTCGACCTGATAGCCCGATGGATCAGGCAAGATTCCGCGTACCCTCTGGCTCTCGCGATACTCCGCGCTCGAGACGACGAGATTTTTCGCGCGAAAGTACTGGGAATTCCGCGATGACAGCGTATAATGTCATGCGTAAATGGAATCTGAAATTCTCGGGTACACGAGGGGAGGATGCGGAAACCTTTTTACTTCGAATTGAGGAAGGTCGCGAGTTAGTTCCCGTATCCGACGAAGATATTTTGCGTTGCTTGCCGTTCTTTCTAACCGGTATAACCCTTTATTGGTTCCGTAGTAAACGCAATCGGCTGTCAGATTGGAACGCTTTTAAAGATGCGTGGAGAACGCGATTCGGGGACCCAGATTTTCAATTTGCTCTTCGCGAAGAAATTATGCGAAGAACTCAGGGAGAACATGAGTCTGTCGCTGATTTTCTTTCATGTCTCCGAGCTATGTTCGATCGTGTGTCACCACCATGGACTGAATCTGAGCAAGTAAGCAGCGCGTTTCGGAATTTATTTTTTTACCGCGCTTACAGCAGCCCATCCGTCGAAACGAGGTGGGCAACTTAGACGCTTTAGAAGATCTGGCGACTCGCGTAGAAGCTAGTTATTTGCTGTCGCAACGTTATCGGGCACCTCCGACTCCGGAAAAGTCATTGTTTCCGGATCTCGCGTACCATCGCGTAATACGAAACAGCCCTCGCGAGGCCGCGAAACTCTTGCCGCGTTGAGTACATCTGAGGCGGAATCAGAGTCACCATCGAATTCGCGAAAGGAGAGGACAAATAAAAATCGCACAGCTCGAGCCGCGACCGGGACGGAGGCCGCACAGGAGGCTTCGTCGTCATCAGGGACGACAGCCGTAGAATCGACAGCTTCGCGAAATTCCACGCGAAAGTGTTGGAATTGTGAGGGCGTAGGTCACATTTCGCGAAATTGTAAAGCCGCTCCGCGAATGCACTGTTATCGTTGCGGTCGAGCGGAAGTAACGTTACGAATGTGTCCCAACTGTTCGGGAAAAGAGTAAAGGAGTCGAATAATGGGGGGGACCCGACTCCTATTCAACTTCAATCCCCTTTTCGTGTCGTTAATTGTTCTAGTGAATTTTCGTTCAGTGCTTTTGGTTGTCGTGACATTCCATCAATGTTATTTATTCGTGTTAATTTATTAGGAAATGAGATTAGCGTTCTAGTGGATTGTGGTTCGACTCGCACTTTTCCAGGATCTAATGTTGTCGAATTGGTGAATACTTTGAAGTTAAAATTTCGAAAGTCGGATGGCCGACGCGTAGTTACGGCAACCGGCCAAACGACACGCGTTAGGGGGGAGGTGGATCTTCCTTTTACGTTATGTGATAGGACTATTTCGTTAAAAGCGTATGCTTTGCCATCTTTAGCAATCCAATGCATACTAGGACTTGATTTTTTGAGCTTATTCGGTATGATAGTAAATTTGTCACGCCAAGAATGGTACTTTGAAGATGAACCGGCCAAGGTGTATCGTTTCGAGAATCAGCCAATAAACTCCGTTTGTCATGTAAATTTAGTCGAGAAGTCTGTTAGTCGCGAATCAAGTGATCATTTCATGTCAGGAAGCGCAAATGTAGCGGAATCAAAGCCGGATAACAGCCCGCGAGAAAATAGTCTGTCGATCGCGAAAACAACCCGTGTTCGCAAAACCAAACGAGTTCGGCTATCGAAATCTAATCCGTTTGTTTGCTGCGGTTTAAATGAGCTGTCGTCGCGCGAAAGTCAAAAGCTAGCTAAATTCTTGAAGGATCATATAGCAGGCGATCCGGATAAACCGGGAGCGACCAATTTAACCGAACACAAAATTGATGTCGGCGGGCATACTCCGATTAAACAGCGATATTATCCCGTTTCGCCAAAAATTCAGGAAGCGATTTACGCGGAAATCGATAAAATGTTAGCGGCAGGAATTATCGAACCATCTAAAAGCGAATGGTCTAGCCCGATCGAATGATAAAGAAACCAAATGGCAGCTATCGATTTTGTCTAGATTTTAGGAAATTAAACAGTGTTTCGAAAAAGGATGCGTATTCATTACCATATATGAACGCAATTTTCGATAAAATACGATCAGCTAATTATATTTCGACTATCGATCTAAGCCAAGCATATTTTCAGATCCCGCTTGAGAGGAATAGTCGCGAATTAACGGCATTTACGGTACCGGGAAAAGGGTTGTTTCATTTCACCCGAATGCCGTATGGCCTCACCGGTGCCCCCGCGACATTTCAGCGATTACCTGATCGACTCATAGGTCCCGAAATGGAACCGCATGCTTTTGCTTACTTAGATGATATTGTTGTCGTGATGCGTACTTTTGAAGAACATCTGACTTGGTCAAAACGCGTATTAAATCGAATTAGAGAGGCAGGCCTTACGATAAATCCTGAAAAGAGTAAATTCTGTCGGTCTCAGGTAAAATATCTTGGATTTCTAATCCAGCAGGAAGCTTAAAGTAGACCCTGACAAGACCGCGCCGATTGTCGAATATCTACCACCGAAAAATATCAAACAGTTACGACATTTTATAGGGATGGCATCCTGGTATCGCCGATTTATACCGCAGTGTGCTACGCGTTTAGAACTGCTAACTCGTCTCCTCCGGAAGAATTTCTCTTGGGAATGGGGGGATGAACAAAAATCTGCATTTGAATCAGTTAAATCGTGCATTACGTCGCCGCCTACGCTGTCGTGTCCGAACTTCGAGCTACCATTCACTCTGCAAACGGATGCGAGTTCGGTTGGTTTAGAGCGGTATTAACGCAAGAATCGGAAGGCGTGGAGCATGTAATCGCGAGTAGAGCGCTGTCGGAAGCCGAAAAGAAATACTCTACGACCGAGCAGGAATGTTTGGCTGTCGTCTGATCGATTAAAAAGTTCAGACCGTATCTCAAGGGATATAATTTTAAAGTCATTACGGATCATAGTAGCTTACGATGGTTACATAATTTAAAGAATCCTACTGGTCGATTAGCGCGATGGGCTTTGGAATTATTAGAATACGATTACACGATCGAACATCGAAAAAGAGCATTGCATCATGTTCCTGATGCGCTGTCGCGTATTTATGAGACCACCGATGAATTATATGCTGTCGCAATAATCGAAGACGCTTGGTATGATGCACGCATTCGAGACGTGGAGAACGAGCCGCGTAAAAATTCCGGTTGGAAAATTGAAAATGACCAACTTTATTTTCGAAAACTGAATGCTGTCGTATCGCAAGTTGTCGACTATCTCGAGCAGTGGAAACTAGTATTTCCTAGGGAAACGCGCGCGAACGTTATTAGAGAGACTCACGATGTTCCGCAATCAGGTCATTTAGGAGTCGAAAAGTGTTCGAAATGCATCGAGCATCAAAAAATTAAAAAAAAATGATTACTCTGAAGTCCAAGGGGAGAGTCGAGGGCCCGACCGTACATTCGGCGCCCCTGGCCGCCGTTAAATCCGACAGCTCTTTGTCTGTGCGAAACTCAAAACAACGCTCGTCTTTCTGGAAAAATCTAAGATTAATAAATAACAAGCCACACAGTTAAATTTAAACGGTTTTAGTAACTGGCGAGCTCTCGAGAAATCGCGACCTTTCCAGAAGGGCTCGAGTATAAATTGACGCGCTCGGCAAGAACTGGGCCTTTTGTCAAAAAGTAATCGACTCTAATAGACGCTCAGTCCGTTGCTCGCAACATCGAAACTCCGTGCGAATTATCGTTTAGCCTCTCGTAGTTAATTGAACGCTCCGTTTATTTGAGAATAATTACAATCTCAGTTGAACAATTCAAGACTATCTGATCTCTCTCATTCTCGCGTCGCGCTCGCTCCTCGCAAATGTCTTCGCATTACTGCGAACATTTCTGGTCCTTCGAGCCGGATATCTTGCGCCGGCAACCGCGGGTGATTGAAGTGACGGTGCCCAGTGAGTGCAGGGTGATCTGAAAGGAGGAAAGACGATCAGTTATGGACATGGATGAGATCATACAGAGCCAGGTGGAATTACATGGATTGCTCGAGCCATGGACAACCTGAAAAAACTTGGCCAGACCCACATCACGGCGGGCGCTGTCAAGACCCGATTAGCCGGACTGGAAAAATGCTGGTCGACCTTCAAGGCTCAGCATGCCTTGCTCCGATCACAGTACCGAGACACTATTGCTGGACTATATAAAGAAGGATATTTCATCGCTGTGGTAGAGGAGGCTTACCACGTTAACAAAGACATCTTCCTGGATTACGTGCGGTTTAGCAATCCAGTGGCCGTGACCGTCTCGGAGTCCAGCGATTCTCCTCCTCGCCGTACCACCTTGCCACGAATCCAGCTACCTCAATTCTCTGGCAAGTATGAAGAATGGCCGTTGTTTCGGGACCTCTTTCAGTCCATCATTTGACGAGACGCTTCTCTTCCTTCCGTGGAGAAACTTCACTACTTGAAGGCGTGTCTGAAAGAGGAAGCAGAGCTATTAATTCGGAGCATCCCGACTACCGCCGAAAACTACACCCGCGCTTGGACAATGCTGAAGGACCACTTCGAGAATAAGAGTGCGCACTTATCTGTCGCAATTCACCGCTCTTCAGCGTCTAAAGGGTGAGTCCGCTCCGGAGTCGCGCAAACTATATCACAGCGTGAGGAGCACCGTCGGGGCTCTCGAAAGCATCGGCCGGCCGATTACACGCGGGGAAGACCTCTTCGTCCACCTAACTGTCGAGCTCCTCGACTCGCGGTCGCGTCGAGATTGGGAGCATGCCGTCGGCTCCAGCGCGGAGCCTCCGACTTATACCGAGCTGCTGGAGTTCCTGAAGCGCCGCATGCACACCCTGGAGTCTTTACAGCCCGCCAAGGTCGAAGCGAAGCCCTCGACACCGGGTACTTCCTCCTCCAAGCAGACGCGCGCGCTGCACGCGCGTAAACAAGACGGCAATCGAGGGCGCTGCTCGCTCTGCCATTCGGATCACTACATCCTGCGGTGCGATGCTTACCAGGCGAAAACAGCCGAGGAGCGGAAGAAGCACGTGGAGGCAGCGAACTTGTGCCTCAATTGCCTGGGACGCCATCCAGTAGACGACTACTCATCGCAGAAGAGATGCACAGCGTGTCGGGTCCCGCACCACACAACGCTGCACGACGCGTGTCGGATGAGTGAGGTCGTGACCTCACACATCGCTCAGAAGCCTCCGGAGGCTCCTCTCGCCGTGCTCCTGGCTACTGCTAGAGTCGCCGATCGGTTTGACATACTGCACTCCGCTCGTGCACTCATCGATCAGGGCTCGGAATCGTCACTCATCGCGGAGTCCCTGGCTCAACGCCTGCGACTGCCGCGGTCTTCAGCCTCCGTGTCCATCTTCGGCGTCGGGGGGGTTCAGACTGGCCACTCGAGAGGCCTGGTCACTGTGTCCATCTCTCCACCCGGGGAAGGCACACCCTTCTCAGTCCCAGCATTGGTCTTCCCCCAGCTTACGATTTACGAGAGTGGTATCCGAGTCGACCAGCGATCCTGGAGTCACCTCAGTGGGTTGGAGCTCGCCGACCCTGACTATCTTGCCTTGGATCCAGGAGCTCCTGCTAGGAGCGGACGTACACGGGCAGATCATTCAGGAAGGCCTGCGGAAGGGAGGAACTCAAGAGCCGGTCGCCCAGAAGACTACCCTAGGTTGGATAATTTCTGGGGCCGTCGGGGCAACTACCACCCCGAACAACGCGTCTGCTCACTTGTGCCACACTGAGGAGGAACTCACCGCACTCGTTCGCAGATTTTGGCAACAGGAAGAGTTATCGGAGACTACACCTCCGCTCTCGTACGAAGACCAGCAGTGCGACGACTTCTTCCGCGCCACGCATCGTCGCACGCCCGAAGGCCGGTACATCGTGCGCTTGCCGATCCAGGAATCGCTTCCGGACTTCTCGTCCACACGCCCTTCCGCACTGCGTGTGCTTCGAAGCATGGAGTGGAGATTCCACCGAGATGAAGATTTTCAGCATCTTTACTCAGACTTCATGAGTCAATACGAGAGCTTGAACCACATGGCCCCGGTGAGCCGCCCACATGCTAGCAGGGAACCTGTCAGCTATCTCCCTCATCATGGAATTCTCCGGGAGGCAAGTTCGACAACCAAGCTCCGGGTCGTGTTCAACGGGTCGATCGCCACCCCCGCTGGTCACACGCTAAACCAGTACTTGATGATGGGCCCTAACCTCCTACCGCCATTGGCCGACGTCTTGCTGCGCTGGCGGCGACATCGCATCGTGCTGGCTGCCGACGTGGAAAAAATGTACCGGCAAATATTGGTTCACGAGGACGACCGCGACTTACAACGAATTGTCTGGCGCTACCAGGAGAGAAACGAAGTCACCGACTACCAGCTACAAACGGTCACTTACAGGCTAGCCTGTGCCCCCTTCCTGGTCATGCGGACCCTCCGACAGCTAGCGGACGATGAGGGCGAAAGGCATCCTCGCGGAGCTGAAGTTCTTCGCCATGACATCTGCATGGACGACATTCTCACGGGAGCACTCTCGAAAAAGCCCAGCTGCTTCAGCAGGAACTGGTCAATATCTGCGGGGCAGGCGGCTTCCTCCTTCGCAAGTGGTCAGCTAACCACCCCGAGCTGCTAGCTGACGTCCCTACTGAGCACCGGATGCAGCGCGAGTCCCGCGATTGGCTCCCGACGGACGCGCATCCCACGCTGGGTCTCCGATGGCACCCTCTGACGGACGAGTTCGCCTTCTGCGTGGCCACCATCTCAGTGGCGACCATCACCCGAAGGTCAGTGCTATCCCTTACAGCTCGACTGTTCGACCCTCTCGGCTGGCTCGCTCCCGCGACTGTAAGCGCAAAAATCGCCGTCCAAAGTACTTGGCTCCAGGGTGTTGACTGGGACACCCTCTTGGATGATGAGTCGACCCGTTTCTGGTGCACATTCCAAGACGAACTGCCACGCTTGAAGGCCATTCGAGTGCCCCGCCGGATACTCGCCGATCCTTTCAGGGACATCAAACTGTACGGCTTCGCCGACGCGTCGGAGCGAGCCGTGGTGTATCTTCGCCAGAGGGACAGGATGGGCAGTCAGCCTCCTGGCAGCCAAAACTAAAGTTGCCCCACTCAAGCAGGTGTCGCTTCCTCACCTGGAGCTATGCGCTGCCATTCTCCTCACCCGCCTAGCAGCGCACCTGCGAACTATTCTGGGACTGCCGTGGATCTCGGTGCACTGTTGGTCAGACTCCACGGTCGTGCTAGGCTGGATCAAAGGACATCCGAGCTACGTAGCTAACCGGGTATCGGAGATCCAGACCACCATCCACGACGCTCACTGGCACCATGTTTCCGGTGCGCAGAATCCTGCCGATTGCGCCTCACGTGGGCTGTCTCCGGGGACTCTAGCTGCTCACGACCTGTGGTGGGCAGGTCCCTCCTGGCTCTCCAAGACTGACGCTTCCTGGCCAGCCCCCGCCGAGCCGTCCACGACGACTGAGCTTCCGGAGGCTCGGGTTACTGCCCAAGCGACTACTACCACGCTCATTCCTGAAGAGCCCGACGAGCTGACACGGTTCTCGTCTCACAGTTCTCGTCTCGGTTGCTGCGAGCCACTGCCTGGTGTCGACGCTGGTTATTGCGGGGGAGATCTCGGAGGGCGTCACCAGATTTCCCCAGTCTTGCCGCGGGCCCGCTGACTGCGGATGACCTGATGGAGGCGCGCCTTCTTTGGATTCGGCAGGCGCAATCTGCAACCTACCATCGGGAATTAACTACCTTCGCTCAGGAGCTCCCTCTCGCTAAAGGCAGTAAACTTATCCCACTTAATCCTTTTGTAGATCCGCTTGGCCTGTTGAGAGTAGGAGGAAGACTTAAGAACAGCTTCCTGTCCACGGACGAGCAGCACCCGATCATCCTACCAGAGACATCGCACTTCACTCGACTTGTCGTCCTGTCCTGCCACCGTCGCTCCCTCCATGGTGGCGTTCAACTCACGCTCGGGATGGTTCGGCAGCATTACTGGATACCACAGGGCCGCGCGCTGATGAAGCGGGTCCTCCGCCAGTGCGTGACGTGCGTCCGTTGGCGGGCGGCGACTCCTCAGCAACTGATGGGCGACCTCCCGCCGGAACGAGTTACTCCCAGCCAACCCTTCCTCAATATGGGGGTCGATTACGCCGGACCCGTGCAGCTCAGGACCACCCAAGGACACCGAGCATACAAGGCATTCATCGCCGTCTTTGTATGCCTCAGCACTAGGGCCGTCCATCTAGAAGTCGCGTTCGATTACACGGCCGAAGCATTTCTAGCAGCGTTGCAGCGATTTACGTCCCGCCGAGGGCTATGCCACACCCTGTGGAGCGACTGCGGGACCAACTTCGTGGGAGCGGATGCTCAGCTGAGGCAACTCTTCTCAGCTAGTAGTCCGAACCAGCGGAGAGTCGGCGAGCAGCTCGCCAGCGAGGGAATCCGATGGCGCTTCAGCCCACCGTCCGCTCCGCACTTCGGGGGAATCTGGGAAGCCGCCGTCAAGTCCCTGAAGCACCATTTGCGCCGGACTATAGGAGATGCCACGCTAACGTTCGAGGAGATGACCACCCTCCTCACGCAGGTAGAAGCGTGCCTCAATTCTCGTCCCCTCCAGGCTCTAACAGACGACGCCGAGGATCTTTCCGCCTTGACGCCCGGGCACTTCCTCATAGGCTCCGCCCTCACTGCTGTGCCCGAACCTACACAATCGGATTCCCCGCCGAGCCATCTGAGCCATCTGGCAGATGTTGCAGCGGATGCGGGACCACTTCTGGGAACGTTGGTCACGAGAGTACTTCCACACTCTTCATCACAGGCCGAAATGGCAGGAGGCAAGCTTCGAGATCGGGCGATTGTGCCTCGTACGGAACGAGAACACGCCGCCAACCCGATGGCCGCTAGCGCGAATCGTGAACACACACCCCGGAGAAGACAGACAGATGCGCGTCGTCACCGTCCGAACAGCGAGCTCACAATTAAAGCGGCCGATTACGAAGCTCGTCCTCTTGCCAGTTTGCGTGGCTAATGCGACGAGAAACAACGACTGACAGCACTCAAATGCTGCGAAAAGATTGTTAAAATAGCCTTCATTTTTTAGCCTCTGAATCTATAAATTTATTAAAAACCATTCTATCAGTTTGTTCACTATACACCATGAAAAACAAAATGTTAATAATTTAGTTTATATAACAGGTATTGACAATATACATAATTACCGGCGCTGGCTTCATGTAGCTGACTGAGCCTCGAATCAGTCTCGCGTCGTGATTCCCACATACTTGTTAACCCACGTTCACTTATTCAAAAAAATATGTCTCTTATTCATTCTTTTCCCGAAGCTTCGGCAAGGCGGGCGGGATGTTCGAAATGCATCGAGCATCAAAGAATTAAAAAAAAATGATTACTCTGAAGTCCAAGGGGAGAGTCGAGGGCCCGACCGTACATTCGGCGCCCCTGGCCGCCGTTAAATCCGACAGCTCTTTGTCCGTGCGAAACTCAAAACAACGCTCGCCCTTCTGGAAAAATCTAAGATTAATAAATAACAAGCCACACAGTTAAATTTAAACGGTTTTAGTAACTAGCGAGCTCTCGAGAAATCGCGACCTTTCCCGAGTATAAATTGACGCACTCGAAGAACTGGCCTTTTGTCAAAAAGTAATCGACTCTAATAGACGCTCAGTCCGTTGCTCGCGACATCGAAACTCCGTGCGAATTATCGTTTAGCCTCTCGTAGTTAATTGAACGCTCCGTTTATTTGAGAATTACAATCTCAGTTGAACAATTCAAGACTATCTGATCTCTCTCATTCTCGCGTCGCGCTCGCTCCTCGCAAATATCTTCGCATTACTGCGAACAAAAAGACTTATCAGCGATTAGCGACGCGTTATTTCTGGTCGCGTATGTTTAAGGAAATCGCCAATTATGTTCGACATTGTGACATCTCTCAGAGGACGAAGGTAGAATAAAATGTGCCGATGGGTTTAATGGGCCGAGCTGTCGAAACTCCGTGGACGGCAGTAGCAGCGGATATTATGGGTCCTTTTCCGTCGAGTAAAAGTGGTAACGCGTACATTTTGGTAATACAAGATCTCTTTACGAAGTGGATTAAATGTAGCCCACTCCGAAACGCGACGGGCAAAAAGATCCGCGAGCTCTTGAACGAATTAATTGTGAATTGTTGGGGCGCGCCGCGAGTACTCTTAACGGATAACGGCACGGAATTTATGAATCGCGAATTACAGGCATTTGCGGAAGAGCATGGCGTAGTTCATACTACCGTACCTCCGTACCATCCTAAGGCGAATCCGGTAGAACGCGTTAATAGAATACTTAAAACAATGATTACGGCATTCTTCGAACACGATCATCGCGAATGGGATATAAACTTGGCTGAGTTCAGGTTCGCGTATAACACGGCGTACCACACTTCCTTACAAGCTACTCCGGCGTTCTTAAATTCCGGCAGAGAATCTCAACCGGTTAACACCGTGCGTGGAAGGCACGAGCCAGCTGTCGAAGTCGAGGAAACGAATCCCGAAAATTGGAAAGAGTGCATGGAGAGAATACAGGCTTTGCGAAATTGGGTAGTAGAAAACTTAGATGCTGCGCATAGTAAACAGGCGCATTATTATAATTTGCGTAGACGAGATCACCGTTTTGCGATTGGCGAACAAGTTCTGAAGCGGCAGCATGTGTTGTCGTCAGCCGCTCAGAATATTTCGGCGAAATTAGCGACTAACAAGGAAAGGTACCACGGTACGTTTACTATCGCGAAAATGTTGTCGCCGATAGTGTGCGAGTTGCATGATAGCGCTCAGAGATCGATAGGCAAAGTACATATTAAGGACTTAAAACCGTATAATGCTCCACCGGACCCTCCAGACGTTTAAAATTGGATATTTGCGTTTGAGCAACACCACTTTTAGTGAATCAGATCGCGAACGTCGCACGGGACGACCCGCGACAAACGCGACCGCGGGCCCCAGTGAGAGACGACATCGCGAATCAAATTCATGAAAGGCGATGACAGATCGCACCTCGTTTGGATTAGTGAAAAATTTCGGTAATTTTTTTTGTGTTACATTTTGTGTTCGTGTCTTCCTCGGCTCCGGGGACTTTGGTCGCCCGAACGTGTACGAGCGGACGAAGGTAGCGTCCGATTAGTGGCCATGATGCGTGACCGAAGCCGATATGTTCTCTCCTGGCATGAGAGGGTGTGACGTTGCCGTCCTGTCGCGCGTCCATCCGCCCCGATAAGTTTAACGGACCGAGCGGCCGCGCCAGAATCTGCATCGAGAGAACATTATCGAGCTCCCCGGAGAGACGAACGATATTATTATGTTTATCGCGTTTATTAATTTTGTCATTTCTTTTGAGTAGTATAACTATGTCAGTTCTAACTCAGGTCCTCTCAGGGGGGGGGGTGAGGCGCGAAGGGAACCGCGGGGCGGGGGGGAGTGACGTCATGCGCGGGGAAAGAGGAACCGCGGCGCGCGGAGGGTGACGTCACCCGCAGTGAAGGGGTATCCGCGGCGCGAGCGATGGACGATGGGGTCCGCGCGGTGAAGGGGGATCCGCGGCGCGACCGATGGACGGTGGTGAGAAGGACAGCGCTACGTATGAGAAAAGGACAGTGCAAAGTGTGTGAAGAGGACAGTGCTACAAGGTGAGTTGAAGTGTGTGAGGAGGAGTGCGAAAAGGATGGCGTTAACGAAGGACAAGGACGAGGTATATGTGAGAGAAGGACGACGCAAAGGTAAGTGAGCAACGAGTATATTCTAAGCGAAAGAGAGAGAACGATAATATTTTAAGACAATGCGTGCGAGAGAGAACGATAATACCGCGAGACTTGCAATTAGCGCGTGCGAGAGAGAACGATAATACCGCAAAGACAACACGTGCGAGAGAGAACGATAATAGCGCGAAGACTTACAACTAGCGCGTGCGAGAGAGAACGATAGCGCGAAAACGACATGTACAAGAGACAATGATAATATCGCGAGACTTACAACTAACGAGTATGATAGAGATTACTAATTCTAAGCGCGAGAGAAAGAAATAGACTTACAACTAGTGCGAGACTTATGATTAACGCGTGCGAGAGAGAACGATATCGCGATAACTAGCGCGAGAGAGAAACACAGGGATGGGAACGCGAGGAGAGGCGCATAAATAATTAAATTTTTTAAATTAAAATATAAAATATAAATTTATTTTAAAATGTGTATGTGTTTTATACATATTTGTGCGTGTGTGTGTGTGTGTGTGTGTGTGTGTGTGTGTGTGTGTATGAACTTAAAATTATGATTAGTAATAATAAGATTTTAAAATAAAATATAAAATATAATTTTAAATATAATAATATTGGGGGGGTGCGGGGGGTGCGGGGGTTGGAGGTCAGGGGGGAGCCGGGTGAGGGGGCCGCTCCTATAACAGAAAAAAAGATATTGGATTAATACAAGTGTAGTTATAATAAGATTTATAAAAAAAAATACTTACATCTGTGCGCCCCATTACACATGCCATTGGGTGCCCGAATCTCCCCGGGCACCCAAATCTCCTCCTCCAGTAGGGCTCTTTTCCGAAAAGCCGCCGCAGATCGAAGATGTCCTCTTCGTCCGGGGGACTCTCCGGGGCGTCACCCCACATGAAGGAGAGGAACTGTCTCCTCCACCGCCGCTCCGCCCGCACCCATTGTCGGCGTCTAATGTTGACAAATCCCGGTATTTCAACTTCATCCTGAGACTAGAAAAAATATAAAAATATAAGTATTATAGATATACAAATTTTTTATAAATTATTCGCAAAATCAATACTTACATTCCTATGGAACGCCAGCCTCACCAGCAGAACGCATAGCAGGTCCGAAAAGGCCTGCTTCCATCCTGCACAATTCTCGAAAATGTACTCTATTGTTTTTTTTTGTTTTTTACTTCTCTTCTTAACTCGCGCACCAGTTAGAACTTTATGATGAGACAACGAGGTCCCGGCACGGGATTTTATAGTAGAGATGCCGCATTATCACCATGTCAAAAACGCGTCGTAAGACAAAAGTACATCCGGTCCCATGCAACTCAGCGCGGTATAGTATAATATTAATATCGCGACTTTGCGAGCAAACAAACTTCTCGATACGAAACTTTAGAATAGGGACGTATCATTATCGCTTTGCTAAAAATACGTCGTAAGACAAAAGTATGCATCTTCTCATGCAAATTAGCACGATATAATGTAATGCATCAACCGATCAAACGAAAATGAATGATCATCGAACACACGTTGAACGGCTATCAAACGCTCTTCGGACGCTCTTCGAAAGGTCGTCAAACGGAAATGAACGGTAATTGAACGCTCTTCGAACAGAAACGAACGGTAATTGAACGGTCATCAAACGGAAATGAACGGTCATCGAACGGAAATGAACGACCGTCAAACAGTAATGAACGGTCATCAAACGGAAATGAATGGTAATTGAACGCTCTTTGAACGGAAACGAACGGTCGTCGAACGCTCGTCAAACGGTAATTGAACGGTCATCAAACGGAAACGAACGATCGTCGAACGCTCGTCGAACGGTAATTGAACGCTCTTCGAACGGAAACGAACGCTCGTCGAACGGTAATTGAACGCTCTTCGAACGGAAACGAACGGTAATTGAACGACCATCGAACGGAAACGAACGGTTGTCAAACGCTGTCGAACGGAAATGAACGACCGTCGAACGATAATTGAACGCTCTTCGAACGGAAACGAACGGTAATTGAACGGTCATCGAACGGAAACGAACGGTAATTGAACAGTCATCGAACGGAAACGAACAGTAATTGAACGGTCATCGAACGGAAATAAATGACCGTCGAACGGAAATGAACAACTATCGAACGGAAACGAACGGAAATAAACGACCGTCGAATGCCCTTTGAACGGAAATGAACAGTCATTGAACGAAAATTAATGGATCTGTTCGTTTCAGCTGCACTGCTGCACTAGTGCAATTAGTTAGAGTGAAAGAAAGTATGTTTGTCT